ACGATAAAGCTTGTATTCATGACATCACTTCAAAAGCCATTAGTTTAGGCGTCAGTATCTATGAAAGTACTTCTGTCAGCCCATTATATACTGGTAAATATACACGTATCTAACACATAAAGATAGCTAAGTGTAGTGTATAGAAGTAGCAAAAAATATCTTTGGAAGCAAAGAAGAGTAGAACATTTGAGTTTGTTGACGCCACAGAGGGTTATTTTTCTTCGGATCCATATTTTTTCTACTTTATTTCCAACTATTATGTTTATGGGGCGTAGGGAAGGGAAATTCAATCTCTTGTTACGTCTTTTTCGCTACAGGTGTAACTTCCGTTACCGGTAACGGATGTTACAAAACGGACGTTTTTGTTTATTTCTCAAAGAAGATCTGCAGTTTTTATCTTCATCCTTTGAGAACAAGGGGGCATAAGTACGGACATTTTAAAACTGGGTGACTTTTTATATACCAGGTGAAGAAACTAAAATTGAAAGTAAAAACAACGGTAACGGATGTTACATTCATTACTGTAAAACAATTTGTTCAGCGAAGGTGGCTACAAATGACAGCACACCCTCTTTTCTTCTTCTCTTAGAAACCTAGAAAACTTGCTAAAAGTCATCAAAATGGCAATTTCTTGTCTTATATGTGACTCTATCTAAACTGCACGACCGTCTTACTTGAGCGGTAAGGCCATGTTGATTTGATTATATGGATGACATCTGCGTGCGCATGAATTTTCGGCCATTTCCAAAAAAAAAAAGTTTTCAACCATACTGTAAATCGTGCAAAACAGTTGCTAAATGAGCAAAACTATACCATAAGTTGCAAGGAAAACATTTAGAAACGATACCAATGTCGTAGAATGCCAAAATCAAAGGAAAAAGACAAAAATGTAAAGAAATGAATTCGAAGAGTAGATTATTCGCCATAACATATTCTGTGCCATTTGTTCAACCTTCATGGCCACGTAGATTTCATAGTGAAAGCAACTTTTTTTTTGCAAAACTTTTTTTTTATTCGCACGCGCGCATCAGTTTTGGGGTTCCCAGAGGATGTCATCCATATAATCAAATCAACATGGCCTAACGGATGTTACAGAACTTGGCGACAGGTATGAAACACCTCGCACAGCGTACAAAGATAGTGACAGAAGCGATCTGACTTGATCAGTCAGAGGGCCTGGCCACCCAACTTCACCAGGCAGAAAACTACTGCCGTAATCAAATTGCTACGTTTTAGGTTGCTTTTTAAAGTTTCTATATCGTCTCAGGCGACAGCCGCTTTTTAGGGGGAGAAATCCAACCCGCGACCATAATTTCTCTCGAGTCATCAATCAAACCTAGTTTTGTGGTACATTTTTCGTAAAACATACTAAGTGTAGTGGGAAAGTGAAGGAAGCAACGATGAGGTGCATGATTTGGCTCATACCCAGTCGTAAAGAGTGGCGACAGCATTTTGTACATTTGAATGAGAACGAGTGGAAAGAATGTACAACCCCACCCTCAACGGGGAGGGGGGCTACAGGTAGAACTCTCAAGACAATTGAGACCTATTATAATAGCACTCCCAGACCTGAGAACAGACAACACTTAAGCTCCTGTTCTGACATGTCTGAAACAGTATTTGACTTATTTGCATCATCCTTGTCTTAACTTGTCCAACATTTGTTTTCTTTTGGACTTTCAAAGAATTTGTCTTGACTTATTTGCATATCAGTCAATAGTTCATACTTCTAAACCTGCTTTTCTGACAACTCTCCAATGTCACTGAAGAAAGGTAGTGGATGCTACCAGAAACATCTGTTTCCAAAGTCATATCGAGTTGCTTGATTTTTTTGGCATTGACAGTTGACTGTCTATGATTTAACAAATTCTTTGTGTGTGTGTGTGTGTGTGTGTGTGTTTGTGTGTGTACATGCACATTGTACCAGCACATGTACATTTAATATAATGACATTATATCATTTTTATCTTGCAGTTTTTTTGAAGCAAGAAAGCTGGATCCAAAGATGTAACTGTGGATGAACTTTGACCTAGAACTGACAAGGTCAGAGTTGGAGTGTTCTGAAGACAGACATGCATGCCCCCGGGCAGGTGCTGCAGTTCTTCAGAGGAATACCTAATCCCAGTCCCTTGTTTGAAGGAGAGCCACACATTTATAATATTACATGAATTGAGAAATGTACATACATTTATATGTACTACATTGTCTATAAGATTATGCTGTAAGTTTGTTGTGCCTGGATGTGAATGTTGTTGAGAACCAAGGAGTCTACAGTCAGGAATATATTTTAAAGATTTAATATAAAAAATTATTTCCTCAATATAGATATACTAAACAGTATACTACTCAATATATTCATCAAGAAATTAATCAACATTTTTTCACACAATAATTATTGTTCACTTGCACTGGTATTTTCAGAACAAAGCAAGAAGATATAACAGCAAAAGATCACAATCACATTTTTACATTCATTTTTTTAGATCTAATTTCCACACCGGACAATAGCAGACACCAAAATTCAACAGAATTACAACTGTCACAATGTCCTATATGTTGATTCCAAATTGAAACTTTTAAAATGACAATCAGCAAACATTTACATTTTGAAGACAATATTTTGAGACCAGCTTGGAAAAGCTAAATGTAAAACCTCATATTAGCAAGACATAACCTTGGCACGTAAATACACATCTTTTGTCATGGTAAGAATTCTATAATCAAACACTTATTTGTTTTTAATACATGTACATGACATTGTACATGTCATCTTTTTACTCAATGATTTAAACCTCAGATGGACTAGCATATTGTAGCAGGAACAATTTTTACAGTGTTTCTCGAGTAGTGTACATTTGAGCGTGAACAGACAGGCCATTTTAAGTACAATTTTTCACAGTGAGTAAACTTGGGGCTGTTCATATTGTACATCTTGCACAGTTGACTGAGCAATGGTTTGTTCATATTAAACAAAAGGGGGCTGCACACACAAAGGCTACTACATGTCTAGTATATATACATGTACATGTATATCTACCCTTAAAATGAAGTGGTGGTATTCTTCCAAATTCTGACAATACTTGCTATGTGGTATGTAATTCACAGATAATGTTGAATAAATATATATTTTGAAGTCATGCATATAATGCACACAGAGGTATGAGTAGTACATGTACTGTCCAACAGAGGCTCCTACTTCATCTTTACAAAGCCCTTTTTATTCTCTTACAATTAGGCTAATATACTATACACAATTGTCATAAATTCACATGGTGAATTTTGACTTTTGTAAAATATATTACAACAGTAGATTGTAGCACTATGAAATATTATTATTGACTTGTAATCTAATACTGTGTTGATTTTGATACCCTTGCAGGAAAATATATCTTTTCTCTCCACTTCTAGTGTTTGTCTACAATGTAACAATCTTGGCACCATAAAGATTAAAATTATCTTTGGATGAAAAAGTTTGTCTAAGTGACAAATCTGTTTGCTTTAGTTGAGGGTTATTCTATTTTTAATTGTAATATTGGTAGGAAGTAGGAACAGTTCAAGATCTAGTGTTCTCTTACATTTTGCACTCCCTGACTCTTAAATGGACTGGTCTGGAAATATTTACCACTAGACACTGTTACTGTTGGTCCATCTGCCCTCTCTGTCAACTTGGCCCTCTACAAATACTTGTAGTCAGGATCACAGCAAAACCAGAAGGATTATTGCATTCACATATATTAACCCTCCCCCTGCACATTGTACAGCTTTGGTGCCAAAAGGCTATTTCAGCAGGGAGAAGGTTAATATGACTGTATCTAGTGCCTACATTCTTTCTAAGTACCAGTAATGTTGGTTGTAAAAGTATATAGCAGTGAAAAGTCAGTTCCTGAACTCATTTCAATGGCACAGGTTGGTTCTCAATCAAATTTGGTCAGTTGGAATCTTGCTGCTGGCAGACTGTCAAGAAGTAAGACTTGTACAAAATACATTGCATTACAACATCTGTTTTCACAATAACTGGATGTGAATGTAGGCAGTTAGAACAGAGACAAGAACTGTTCACAATTCAATGACTTAAAACAATATTGTACAAAATTCTCTTGAAAACACAAGGCTCTTGTAGCAAACACGGTTAACACAGAATTACATGTAACTGCAATTGATATTGCAGTATCACTTCAACCTACAGACCCAAAACACATCTTGTGGAACATGTAAAATACAATGTTACTTGTGAACTTGCCGGTTGATGGACCCAAGTTGTATTTCCACACTGCTTCTATAGAGAGCTCTCAACTGAAACTATGCTACAGTGACTGTCACTCCCCCCTCCCCCCTCCTGTTCTTCCATCAGTCTCACGTCACTCGGCCTGACCGCCTGTCCGTCCGACCTGACAACACTGACAAGCACAGGGTCTTGAACCACGTCGTTCTCCACCCCTCCACCATTCCTCTGTCTGATCTCTTTGTTTTCCACCCCAGGTTTCCCACAGCAAGTCTTGGTGAAGCAGTTTTTCTCTGGTGCACAGGCCAGGAAGCAGGCGTCCGACTGCGACAGGTTGGCATTCAGGAACATTTCATCATACGGCTGGAGACAGAAGGGAATGAAATGTCCACACAACATCAACAACTGGCAAACAAAATCTGTGTCTGTTTGACAATACAACAGTTCCTACTTAGTACTACTACTTAGTACTTTACACAATACAGTTGTACTTGGTATATGCCATACATGTGGTAAGTTCCACAAATGTCTTGAACTGCCAAAAAACTGCTACATTTCAGTTACACATATTTTGACAAATATACATTATATTGTCTTACAAATTTTACAGTATTAGAATAGAAAGTTGCAGGAAGACATAATACTGTATACTATACCTGCACAAACTCTGGCTGTATGGTGGTGGAATGGATGCCCTCATTATGGAAGAACTCCTTGATCTTCTCGGCGATGAGCATGTAGTCAGCGAGGTTCCGCACCTTGATGTGGGCGGAGGCGATGATTCTGTTCCCTGCCAGCTGCCAGATGTGGAACTCATGGACCGCCAACACTCCATCCACCTGGAGGAACAATGGAATAGATCATAGTCTTATAAGATGCCATTGAAAACCATGAAAATCATTTTCCCCCTAAAACTAGTAGGTAAAATTTGAGAGATGAGTGAGAGAAAAGAAAGTAAAATTTGTTGTTTTTGTAGCTAGAAGAATATCCTTCACTCCCATACAATTTTTTTTTGTTTCAAAATAATTTCCTGAAAGAGACGGTTGCATGACTTGAGGGTGTGCAGAATTGAATGGAGGCACAAAATAAACTGGGGTGTGTAGTTAGTTTGCTGGCTACAAGACTGACTAGCTATGGGGCTAATGGCGATCAGCTTCCTTAGAAATTTCAATCCAGCAAGATTCCATATCAAGTACTTAGTCTAAGACAAGAACAAATTGGTATTGAAAGTTGGTATTGAAAAAAACCCTAATATACAAAATGTATATAAACAAGAAGTGGCGTGGTGTGGCGTCGTGTGGTGTAGTGGTACATCACTGGACTATGAAACGGGGAGACCTGGGTTCGATTCCGGGTCGTAGCCGAACAAGTCCGAACACGCGCCCTGACGTTGTACCCTTGGGAAAGGTACTTTACACGACTTTCCTCACTTCACTCATGTGTAAATGAGTACCAAGCTTCGGTTAGGGACGTCCCTCGGATAGGACGTTAAATGGAGGTCCCGTGTTTGGGAGAGCCACACCCCACGCACGTTAAAGAACCCACCGCACTTATCGAAAAGAGTAGGGGACCTTCCCGGTGTGAGTGGTTCAAACCTTACAGTCTGGTCTCGGGGTTGACATCTTTGAAAAGGTGATAGTCACCTGTTATGTCAATCCTTCCACAAATGTGGTAAATCTTCATAAATAAATGAATAGAAAATAAAAAAAAACCTGGGTGAAGTGACTGACTGATCATGTACCTGCTCTATCAGTTTTCTCCTGAGGGCGTCCATCTTCAGGTGAGGGGGGACTGTTTGGAGAAGGATGAGTCCTGATTCCTTTACTGTAGGAAAACACACATGTACAAATGTTGTTTGTTTATTATTTGCACAACAGCAATAAAAATATACATAATAAATTAATGAATAAAACAGGTGCAGGAGGAGGGAAAAAAGCTTATTTAGCTTATGCTAAGCCCTCCTCCTGTAGTTGGATAAGTGTTGTTGTCAGCTACAGATCAGGTTTACTTGTGTGAAGGATACAGTATCTGGGAAGTTGAGGTTTACTTACACAGTGGGTAGGTTGTTGACATAATGATGATCACCATTCCAATACTGTAATATAAAAAAGAATAGTATACATGTCAGCACATTTCAACTTTGTCATACAAGTAACTAGAATTGGGACAAAAACCTACTTCCAAGTTGATGTTTCAGAGACAATAGTGAATCTCATGACTGTACATGTAGCCTGGTTACCAAACCTTTTTCGTTACAAGAGGATGAAAGAGAATCGGCAGCTAGATATGTCGCTAAAGATTTAGACATCCAGGTAATTACGTACGCCAAAAAGCAGTTACTCAAGCGACTGGATAGAAACCAAAATCATATCCAGTTACTTGACTATCTGCTTTTTGGCAGCAGCTAGATAGGTTTGGTAACTACAATATATTTGTACACATCTGCCTTACATCCTACATGTATTTTACCCTACAAGACAGTTAAATTTGTTCACACTAGCTAAAAAATATTAAACATTAATCAGTGTGGCATTCATGAACAGGGTTCTATAGTTGCCAAAATTATCAGAATACCTGTGGAGTTACAAATAAAGTACGTTACCTCATGGCAGGGTCAACATAGTACCTCCAGTCCCCGTCTGCCTGCCAGATGATGGTAGCACTAATCATGACCACCACGGAGCCGAGGGCATCGCCCAGCACATGGAGAAACACCCCACGCATGTTCAACTGGGCACTGGAGGCTGGAACATATCATTTGTATTTTGCTGATTTTTTTCAAAATCTCTAAGGCCACACCAATTTAATTTCTTGGTTAACGGATTCGCCGCTTCATTTTTTTCTGATTTGCAAATAAAAGTCCAGAATCAACTGCAAAATGCTCATATTTTGCCCTGGACAGTTGAAAACAGTCCTTTTCATCCTAGTTGTTACAGTTATTCCATCTTTCAATGCAATGGTATCATTAAAAGTTCAAAATTCATTGTTTAAATTTTGAACCAGCCTGGTGTGTTGACTTCATGGCTCCTATCATACCATTTTGGGCAATAATAGGATGCCTACGCCTCTTTTTATTTATTTTTTTTTTCGCCCACCTGCTCCATTATTTTTCTAAAAAAATCCATTAACCAAGAAATTAAATTGGTGTGGCCTAAGTACATTTATTTCTTGCTTGAGTAACTGTAGTATGTCACCAATGTAGCCAGTAGAAAGCATACAATGTAAGTAGTATAAAAACAAAATATCAATAATTAAATATTATGCATTTACAATAAGTCTGCTCCACCGGCAGAACTTTTCTAATTTGTCGCAATGTAAAGGAAATTTTTTTACAAAATACGTATGACAATGTAGCCATGTTCTAGAAAAGATTAATCTACATTGTGTAAAAAACAGTATCTGGCGTTCTTACCAATTTCTTTTGTGTTTTCCTTCTCGCCATCTTTGGGGTCCATGTCTCCATGTGCCACGGTGCCGTTACCATCCTTAACAGTCACCATTAGCTCCTCCTCCCCATCACTACTGTCCTCTTCATGGCCACCATGACTGTGGCCGTGGCCCCCGCCGTGACTATGGCCATGGCCATGTCCTACCAAATTAGCCACAGTACACATAAGTTACTGTTAACATTCCTCTAACTGTTTCAAAACTCAACAAAATTTATCTAAAATAAAATAGAATTATCTAAAATAAAATACAACAGGCAGAAACATACAGGTTTAACAGCCAGTTACATGTAAGTATCTTTCATGATTAGTAGTGATCTGCATTAAGGCCACAACAATTTAATTTCTTGGTTAACGGATTTTTCTAGAAAAATAATGGAGCGAGCGGGCGAAAAAAAAATAAAAATAAAAACAGGCCTAGGCGTCCTATTATGGCCCAAAATGGTACAATAGGAGCCATGAAGTCAACACACCAGGCTGGTTGAAAATTTAAACAATGAATTTTGAACTTTTAAAGATATCACTGCATTGAAAGATGGAATGACTGTAACAAGTAGTAAGAAAAGGACAGTTTTCAACTGTTTAGGGCAAAATATGAGCATTTTGCAGTTGATTTTGAATTTTTATTTTTATTTGCAAATCAGAAAAAAATGAAGCGGCGAATCCGTTAACCAAGAAATTAAATTGGTGTGGCCTAAGGGCAGTAAGTAAGTAAGTAACAAACTAGTAAGTACGAGTAAGTAGCTGTCGCCACTTGACAGTTACAAGTGCCAACTGCCTTACCGTGGAAGAGGAAGAGGCCAATGAGGTTGATAAACAGTCCCGCTCCCCCCACGATCAGGATCAGTATTGGGTTGGTGATCTCCTCAATTTCTGTAAACAAACAAATAACATAAATCAACATAAATCAACCAACACCTACACTACTGTGACCAAGATTTAACTTAAACCGGGTGCAGGTAGATAAAGATAAGGAAAATAATGCAACAAAATGCATATTTTTCAATCAGGTTTAAATGTATCTTAACATGGTCTATGTAGTCCAACAAACTACTGCTCTTACTGGTAAATCTTACTCAAACACAATCATTCATAATATATTCGTTGTACTATGTGCATGGTGGCCAGCCCCTCCAATTCTGTCTTGCTACATAATGTAACCCATCATCACAGGGTGTCTGCTACAGCACCAGTTACCATGGTGACAGACCTCTAGTTAAGACCTGATGTGTTTGGAGAAGAAACACTCTGAGAGCAAATTTTAAACAATGTTTCCTTCTGTAAGGTAAATATAACTAACTCCTAGTTACCAACAACAACTAGAACTAGAAGATTCTTCCAACAGTGACAGGTTTGAA